AAAAAAAAAAAAAAATTGTAATAGCTACCGCAGCTTTTTGAACATCATATTATTTTTTAGCAACTTCACGACTATTTCTTAATAAACTGCAGTTGCTTCAAATAGACCGTAATAGTTGATTTATTGCATTTATAGTAATTGCTTAATTGAATGATACATGAGATGTCAAAGAAGCAAATAAATATTAGTAAATTAAACAGAAAATGATGTACTTCAAATGTATAGATGTTAATAAATAAATAAATGTTGACAATTCAACAACCACAAATTCAAAATAAGTTTTACATTCTTATTTTCTCTGATCTTCCTCCATAAACAAAATGAGTTCCTACTCCATCTTCTCCCCTTTAGCATGTTTCTTTCCCTCCTTCATCCCCTCATTCTTGAATAACAATGCATGTGTGGGTGGTTGTGGGTTAGCATGTTTGCCAACGAAGAAGTTCTCCATTACAAGTTGTTGCTCGGCCTGCATAGCTTAAATCACTAGCCTTGGAGTTTTGCAGCTAATGCAAGGACCTGACTCATCATGTCTCACATATCCCATGACCATGATGACATAATATTAACTTTATATGATAATGGTGTAGATATTACACAACAATGAAGCCCACTTTGTACAATATGCTCTTCTTAAATCCCCTAACAGTTTATGTGTATGATTGTCGGAGGATGCTTCCTTTTGCCATTGTCCCACTAGAGGATACTTCCAATCACATAAACTCTTCTTATATTAAAATCAATTTTATAATTAGTAAATTAAATATAGTTAGTATATCACATTTGTCCTTTTATATCTGATATCCAACAAGGCAGGAGTACTCTTCATTTGATGTGTCCTAGCATGTAGCTAAGAGGAAGATGGTTTCCTACCCAACTCCATCTGTAAGTGAAAATACAAATAAATGCTTATTGCACTTTATATGCAGTCAAATTATTAATTAAATATTTTATTGCTTGGTGGAAGGAAATGAGACAACTATATGTAGAGAAAGACCCATACCACCAACATTTGACAACCCCAATTTTCTTTATTTTGTTAGCTATAGATCTTCTTATAATGTATTCTTCAGACTCTCACGTATCGACCAGCTCTAGAATGAGAGAGATAGGGCGATAAGAATTGCTCTAGAATGAAAGAAAAATGAGGAGGAGGATTTAGGATAGGATTTAAGTCGTAACTAGAAACTATCATGACTTTTTTAGGAAATCAATTCTTCATTAATTAGAAATAAAACATTTCCTTAATAAATTTGCTTTGGTAATATATCATATCCTTAAGCGTTTATTAAGATTTTAATTATAAAAAGTAACATTACTCTTTACACGTGTGAATGTTTGCGTAAATAAAGTGATAGAATTATACATACAACCTAAAATGTAACTATAATGCAAAAAATTAAATCTTTTTAAACTTCATGTAATAAATCTTTAATTGGCAAAACAACAATTTAAATATATATATATATATAAAAGAAAATGTACCTTAAATTCAAGGAGTGGATGATAACTATTCCTCTATGATTCCACCACTTTTGATAAATCAAAAGATTACATCTTATTGCTTTATATTGCCTATCATTTTAGCTAATTATCTGCCAAAAGACCCAATATTTCTCAAAATTGGCAATAAAGCTCATCACCAAATAAACCAAAAAATCCACATGCGTACTATGTCAATATCTACCCACAAAAGCTTCCAACTTAAATATTTGTGGAAGAAAGTCTTCATGCTAACCTTCTCTCCTAATTCTTGGCTAAAAAAATAGATATAAATGCAAAACCATACATAGCACCAAAATCTTGAAATGAATCCAACACCCTAACCATAATATTAGTTTCAACATTAATTATGAAGAAAAGACAAAGGCGAAAATGGTGTACCTTTGTTAATGGCTTAAGTATAAAAATCAATAAATTCTGTAGGATAAAAAATCATAAAAACTTATATATATATATATATATAGTAATAAAAATAATAAGTTTATATATGTGATGATCAAATAATGGAGGATTTAATTAAAGAATAAAATGTTCTTGTGTTGTAGTTGATGTCAACAAGATTTATGTGTTACCATGGTACATGAAAATAGTTGGATATTAGTTCTTAAATAAACCAAACTTGAAAAAAAATTGCCAAAAAAATATTATATTATTTATAATATTGAGAATTATATATATTTTAATTTCTTTTTCTTCAGAGATTGGTTTTTCATAAATAATAATGCCTTATATTACAAAATAAACCTTTTCAGATTGCATAAATTTCATTTCCAATATTATTTAGAAGATTTTTTAATGGAAAAAGTTGATAGAAAGTTCTAACTAAAACTTTTACACTATTTAATAATGTGTTTATTACACAATCGACCTAACAATGCAATTAAATGAAGCCTAATTATCCTCATCTTTCATTCAAAAACCCTTAAAACATTTTTCCCCTTAAAAATTAAAAATTACTTTTTTGACCAAAAACCCTTGAAACATTTTTCATTCCAAGTTACAAATCTTTGCTCTTCTTGGTATTTCTGTTTTGTCCTTGAATCATTTGTCAACGTCGCCATTTTTTTCTTCCCGAGCATTAAAGTTCCAATCTTTTTTCAATTCCCCCAACACCCAATCACCTATATCTTCATTTCTGCCCTTAGCCATCAACAAATAGAGATGAAACCATTCTTAGAAACATAAAGTTGAGATTTTTATGGATTTCATAAAAGGATTAAGAGCCTCCCTTTCTCCTTCAACCATGGAGAAGAAATGGTCACTCCCTCTCCTCCTCATCTCCTTTTTCCTAGTCTTCCTCCTCACCTCTCTCAACATGGGCCTCCTCTCCTCTCTCTCCACCATCAACTCCTTCCTCTCCATTCTCCCCTCCAAACACTCCGGCGATCTTCCGGCCATGTTGGTAGAACAAAAGCTCTCGCCGGCTTCGGCTGCACTAGCTACCGATCATGTTCCTCGCTTTGCCTATCTTATCTCTGGTTCAAAAGGGGACCTTGATCGGTTGTGGAGAACACTTCATGCAATTTATCATCCTCGCAACTACTATGTGGTGCACATAGACCTCAAGTCGTCGGTGATGGAAAGGAGGGAGCTTGCAAATCGGGTAGCCAACCACTCCCTGTTCGCCAAGGTGATTAGAAGTATTTTTTCATATGTGCGCTGGATCAAAATTGAAAATTTTTTAGTATATTTACATATATGCCATGCAATTCTGAAGTATTTACATATATGACACCCAAAATTTTTAACTTATAATAGGTTGGTATCATAAGCCATGCATGCCGCATGAAATGTGGATTTGAAAATGTTGTGATAATGATATATTTAATTTGATTTTAAAAATTTGAATGGTATTCATGCAAATATGAATATTAGAGGTTAGATATGTAAATACATAAAAATTATATGGTATGTATGTGTTGAATTTGAGTATGTTTTGTGGTTCACACTCGAGGAATATATCATAGAATGAGAGAAAGAAAGAAAGAGAATGTATAGTAATTTAGAAAGAGTATATTGTTCTTTCTCGACCTTTTTGGCTAAGATTGTGTAACCCTTGTTTTAAAAATGATCTCCTATTTATAGATAGAGGAGGTATAACTCATAAAAATACATAGAGAACCTAACTTAATAGGGACTGCAGAGAGTATTGCACGTATATTTTAGCTTTGGTGGGGCCCAAGGATCTCTTGGATTCCTCAACCCAGTGATCTGGACGAGAGATATTGTAGACCTTCTATTTTAGTAGGACCATCCGACCGACTAATGACCCTGATGCAGTTGGTTGGTTGCTCCTATGAAGTAGGACGAGTGTTACTGATTCACCTTCTACAAAAATTGCCGATTTAATTTTTGGTGGAAACTCCAACTCCCTGAGTCAAATGCATTGGGTTAATGACTAACCCTGTGTTGGCTATTTCTTGAGGGAGTCTCACAATGCTATTTCAAGTCTTCTGTCTCATCTTTGAGATTCCTGCCATATTTTCCGTGTACATATTGTATTAAAAAACAAAAATTAGTTCAATATTGCTTCACACAACTGATAAAGACGTCTAATTTTCTTCGTAATTGAAGATTCCACCATGATAACAACAATGCAGTCTCACAGCTTATTATAATGAAAGAGTTTAAGACAGCAAGAAAATACAAAGAAATCTTCAGAACACCTTTAATAAAACAGATTTAATTTAATCTCTCAGTTCATGATTTAACTTGCAAAAGTTGTTATTTTCTCGTCGGCAATGTAAAAAATGAGTGATTTTTATAATTTCGTGAAGGTGGACAATGTTCACGTGATAAAAAAGGCAAACATGGTGACCTACAGAGGTCCAACAATGGTGGCCAACACCCTTCATGCATGCGCCATTCTTCTCAAGAAGAAGAAGAAATGGGACTGGTTCATCAACCTCAGCGCTTCGGATTACCCTCTAGTGACTCAGGATGGTGAGATCTTTGTTTTTTTTCATGAAAAATTTGATTTTTTTTTAATTTTTGATAGCTTAAAAATTGCATTTTTATGTTCAGATCTGCTATTTACATTCTCAAAGCTGCCCAGAAATTTGAATTTTGTGGAGCATTCAAGCAGATTGGGATGGAAGGAGTGAGATACATGAATTGATTTTATTATTAAATTTAATATATAAGTATGATTGGATGAGATTAAATTGGTTTGATTTATTGAAATCTAGAGAACAAAGGGCAAAGCCAATGATCATAGATCCAGGGCTTTATATGAAGAGCAAATCAGATGTGTTCTGGGTGTCGCAAAGGAGAGAATTGCCAAATGCCTATAAGCTTTTTACAGGTAATGTTTTTCAGTATTTCATATGGTGTTATGTCTCTACACGTGACAGATTCTAATTGAAGTTCTGATGCAAAATTGCATAAGGAATCCTGATACAATAATTTTTCGTTTATGTGAAGATCATATATATATAT